ACTGACAAGGAACGAGATTACAGTTTCCCTGCACAGCTAAACTTTTTCAATTGGATACCAACACGCGACTCATCTTGCAAAATGTTTCTCCTTCTATGTCTAGTGGTCGCCGCAGACGTCGCTCGCCGAGCCCGAGACGTGGAAGCCGCCGTCGCAGGTAAGTTTTAAGAATTCCAGCTGGTGCGCAGAAACCGCTTGCTGCAATCTGCTGACCTGCCACAAATGAATGGATGCAGCGTTGGAGCGAAAAAGCGGTGGTGGAAATCAGCCGTGCGCCGTACGCCGTGCTAGTCGATTGTAAGAATCCGAAAAGTGCAAAGGTGCCAGGGTTGCTAATCGTCGCATCAAAACCCGCTTTCAATAGCTACTCGCGGAGCTACAGCCGCAGCCGCTCACCCTCGTCGCGCGGCTACCGGTCGCGGAGACGGCGCTCGCCCTCGTCCAGCCGCTCGCCTTCGAGATCGCCCGTGCGCAGCCGCCGGGGCAGGAGCAGCCGTCGCAGCTACTCGCGGCGTGACTCGTCGCGGAGCTACAGCCGTAGCCGTAGCCGCAGCCGTAGTCGCAGCCGCAGCCGCAGCCGCAGCAGGCGGGGACGCAGCAACTCGCGCAGCGTCAGCTACTCGCGCAGCCGGTCTCGCAGCCGGCGCCGTCGTCGCAGCCCGAGCTACTCTCGTAGCCGGTCCGGCAGCCGCAGCGTGAGCTCGCGGCGCGGTAGGAGTGCCAGCCGGAGCCCAGCCCGGTCGCAGTCGCGCACGCCTAGCCCGCGGCGGCCCGTAGTCAAGAACGACGACGATGACGACGAGCGCAGGAGCCAGAGCGCAGAGTCGCGCAACAACAGCGAGGCCAATGCCACAGCGGTTGATGGTGCTAATGCTGACGAAGAGATGCATGACGCCCATCTCTCTGATGCCGCCAGCGCTGAGCCAGCAGGCGATGCCGGCGCCAGCGTCTACGCCGAGATGGGCGGGCACATGGACTATGACCATGACGATGCTACTGGTGAGACGGCCCAGTAAGCCTGTCGTTGCTGACGCCGACGCCTAGCTCTGGAAGAACATGGGCACGACCCGGCTACTTTTTCCTCAGAAGTTTTGTTTTCCTTTTTTTCTGCAGCATCAGAGGCATTGCTGAACCCAGCCTCCGTCTTTTCCACCCCATGCACTTTTTGATTCAAAAAAGTCGGGGAGGAAGAGAAGCCTTGCGCTCCTCTAGCGATGCTGCCTCTATGTCCCTCTTTTAAAGCTTGTAAGCGAAATACACGCCATGTCTTGGCTACATGTACGGGTGTGGTGGCCAGCAGCATGCCGGCACTTCATGGCATTTAGGCTGGAGGGCGGCGACATCCCTCGCCAGCAAACATGCCATGAGGGGGCGGAAAGTGGTGGGGGAACCGAGCCAGAACCGAAATTTTGAACATCAACGAGCCGGATACCTGCCCAAGGCATGGCGTGTCGGGGGTCGCTGGAAAGCGCGTCGCGTGCAGGTGCTGCACGGCCGTCTCTGGCAACAATAGAAATTGGCATTGCTGCACCACCGGCGTCGAAAGACAGCAAAAGTGGGTGCTGGATGTGAAGAGAAAAAGTGACATGGGTCGATTTATTCGCAATCCACTTGCGGGGGCAGCAGCCGATGATTGGCTAAACTGCAGCCTGAAATTCTTCAGCCTGGCCACATTTGCGCCTGATGACCTGCAACAAATCCACCCAGACGCGGCGCGTAAAAAAAAGGTCGAGCATCATCAGGCTTTACTGGCATTTTGGCTAGCCTGCTGTCCCTCTGTGTGGTGAAAAAAATTTTTTGTGGTGGAGACCGTTTTGGCCCTTCATCTGGTCGATTTCTCCACGACTGCCTGCGCCCTGGGCTCCACGCGCGAGTATTTAAGCCGGCAGTTGTGCCCGGCCGTCCGTTTCGCGACTCTCCTCTTTTCCTTTTTACTTTGCTCCGTATAATCCACTACTTTCTTTTCTTCGCTCTCACATTTTCTGCTCTGAAGCTCATCTGCGACCTGACTCGTCCACAACTCCAGGCCATCTTTTCCACAACCTATACTTGTAAGTCTTGTGTCTCATGTTGGGCCACCTCAGGCCGGGGGGTTTGCTGGTGCTGGTGCTGCTGCTGAGTACGCACGAACGTTGCCGATGCCGGCTGCTCTGTTGTACACCAGATGTGTCTCGTTTGCCCCTGTGCCGCTGCTTTTGCATTTCTAAATCTCGCGCTACACAAGCCAAGGGGAGAAGCTCTACCCTTGCCTGACAGCAAGGAGGCAGGGGACCTGTGGCCATGGAGGAGTAGGCATGGTGTGTGTTACTGCCCTACATCTCATGTGCATTTATATTGGTTCGTAATCACCTTGTTGGCCGTGCGCGCCCCCGTCCTTTACATGGTGCGCGCGCTTGAAAAAGCGGGTGCCATTTCCTTGGTCACCACGGCCCGCCACTATTTGTTTCGCTTTTGGAATGCTGTCCCCATTTTCGTGCATTTCCTCTGTTTGGCCGCCGAGTACTGTCCATCCCCGTTAAACTCATCGGCGCTATTCCAGTCGCTATTTCGAGCCCGGTTTCCATGAAATGTGTGGGCTTGTGGGATAGTGGTGTTCCTTATCATCGCCATCCAGAAATGAGAGGCGCGAGCTTGGACGATGCATCTGCTGCAGCCATTGGTTCCCTGTCCTGCGGTGCGCCTGCCCTTGCTGGCTTGGATATTGATCGCTCGGACCTTTATCCGCCATCTGCCGATGGTCTGCGAATCGCGAAGCGTGCGACCACGGCATAAGCAGCAGTCTGCCTGAAAGTCTCTTGGGAAATCGCCACCGACATTCTGCCCAATAATCAGTGGCCAGTAGCCCTTTCCTCACAAGCGCTTGTGCAAAGCAGAGGGTGCAGCCCCAGATAATACACCAGCGCCTACTAACATCACGACGACTCCCCCTGTAGTTAGCAAACCCACCCATCTACCACCATAGCCATGTCTACTGAGAACGCAAAGGTCGACGCTCCTGCTCCCGCTGCTGCCCCTGCCGCCCCTGCCTGCCACCGAGAAGGCTGCGCCCAAGAAGGCTGCTGCGCCCAAGGAGCCCGTCGATGAGTCGACCCTCCGGCGATCGAGCCGCAAGCGCTCTGCGCCCAAGGAGGAGTACGTGCCTGAGGTGATCAGCCGCTCGTCGTCGCACAAGAAGCGCAAGGTCGCCGCTCCCAAGAAGGCCGAGGCCGAGAAGAAGGCTGCGCCCAAGAAGAAGGCTGCTGCGCCCAAGAAGGCCGCCGCGAAGAAGGCTGCTCCGGCGAAGAAGGCTGCTCCTGCCAAGAAGACCGCTGAGAAGAAGGCTGCTCCGGCGAAGAAGGCTGCTGCCGAGAAGAAGGCTGCCCCCGCCAAGAAGGCTGCCGAGAAGAAGACCACCGAAAAGAAGGCTGCGCCCAAGAAGCCCGCTGCCGAGAAGAAGGCCGCCGCTCCCAAGAAGGCTGCCGAGAAGAAGGCTGCTCCGGCGAAGAAGGCCACCCCAGCCAAGAAGGCTGCCGAGCCCAAGAAGGACGCTGCCGCCTCGAAAAAGAAGCCCGCTGCGACCAAGGCCAAGAAGTAAATAGGCACAGCTCTTGACGACGTTATATTTCACTTCACAACTTGTCCATTCCGCTCTATATTTCAATTCCTTTCCTTATTTTTCTCTTCACCAGATGTGTTATTAAAACTTTTTCAACATCCCATTCTACCTGCGCACACCAGGCGCGCCTTTTCCCGCACGTGCTACTGCCTGGTAGCAACGGGTGGTTTCTTGGCAGTAGGCGGTTTCTTTCGCACTTTTTCTCTTTGTTCCCAATGATAATGACGATGACTAGCGTGACCCTATCGACGGTTGGGTGGGCGGCTGCGCTGTGCTTGCTCTCGACATGGGTGTTTGTCATGGTTCTTGGCCCGAGCCGGATGTTCCGCGACACCGTCGTCGAGCATGCGTACGTGGGGTTGACCGAGACTGGGCCGCGGGCGCTGGAGCGGGCTGTGCGCACGACGCTGGGGAACCCGGTGGCCGAGCACAGCAAGCGCCTCGTGCACCGGCTGTTTGGGCAGCGCAACCCGATGTTTCTGATAATTACCGTAGCGCTGTACCTCGGCGGCCTTGGGGTGTTTGTTTCGCAGGCCACCACACATATCCCGAACCGGTATCTCGGTGCGTACCACTGGATGGCGATAGTGCCAGTCATTTCCGCCAGCATGTTTTCGTATGCGATGGCGTGCATGTCGGACCCGGGCATCGTGACCAAGGCGAACGTCGGCGCGGCGTGCCGGCGGTTCCCGTACGACAACCTGCTGTTCTTCAGGAAGGACTGCAGGACGTGTCGGATGGCGAAGCCTGCAAGGTCAAAGCATTGCTCGGTTTGTGGGTGCTGCGTGGAGATGGCGGACCACCACTGCGTGTGGATCAATAATTGCGTTGGCCTGGGAAACGTGCGCTGGTTCGTCTTGTTCCTTGTCTCGTTCAGCACCGTGTGCGTGTATGGCGCAGTCGTGCTTGGGACCGTTGTTCTGGAGCTGCGCCATGTGCATGGGCTAGATAGGACAACCGTGTGGGATGCAGATGCCGGCATGAATGTCGCGATGCCGCTCCGCCGCTCGCTGCTGGTGCTGGCGCATATGCACGGTACTCTGTGCGGGTTAGCGATCCTGCTTGCCCTCTTGTCGCCGATGGTGGCCGCGTTCTCCGCCTACCAGCTCTGGATCCTGATGTGCGGATATACGGGCAACGAGGAGTCCAAGTGGGCCAACATTGCAATGGCCATTGACGACAAGGTTGCATTTGCAGTCAAGATGCCCGATGGCTCGTCGATGATCCAGGCAATCGAGCTGGAGGACCAGGAGAAGGACACGCGCGAGAAGCGGCTGGTCGAGAGCTTGGCCGAGCTGGACAATATCTATGACCTGGGCGTGTGGCAGAACCTGCGGCTCGTATGGCTTGGCCGTCGCCTCAAGCAATAATTTGCTGCGCATATTGGTCCGTGGTCCCCCAATCTCCCCCGTCCATCCACACTATAGCCGGCTCGCAAATCAAGCCTGCAATCTGGGGTGATCAGGAGAAAAAAAGTTTGGCTGGGCGGTGGGAAGCGCACAAAAGAGCCGCATCCGGGACTTATTTTCTCCCTCTTTCACCTGTACGAAATTCGATTTTTTTTTTACAAGGCGTTTTTGCAAATTCGTCTCTTTTGTCAACGCGCATTCGCCGTTCATACTCTGCTCTGTTTACTATCCCTAGGCTGCACAGCCAGCTGCACACTGCCTTCTATCACGCACACACGCACACACGCGCACAAAGAGGACGCCAGAGAGAGAACAGCCATACATCGTACATATTTCACAGCTAGTATACGCGCATGTCCAAAACCAAGCAGTTCCCGCACCCGTCAGCACCAACAATAGCCAGGACAGCGTCTTCCAGCAGCAAACAGATCACGGCAGCTTCGACAGCACCAACCACAGTAACCAGCAGTAGCATCACAAAGACTCAGTGGATGGGAAAGGCGCCTCGTGTTGTTGCCAGTAACAAGGCCCCACCGCCCCGCAAATCGTTTGGTAGGAATGCAAAGGCCCACAACAGCCACGGCAAGAGTGCGCAGACTGGCGATAGCGCCCAGCGGAGCCCAATTAGCACAACCATGTCTGACGAGGAGGATGCGTCTGACCTGAGCGGTCTGGGCGAGTCGCCAAAGCCCCAGCAGTCGCGTAGCAACAGCCCGGGCAGGTTTCCGGTGAAGCCGCGAGGCGGCAAGGGTGGGCGCAGAGCCCCAGGCCAACGCACTGTAGTTGGGTCTGCTGATGAGGCCGAGGATGAGTTTGATTTCCCGCGAGGCGGAATCGAGGGTCCACGGCAGCTGCATTGCGTGTGCCGGCGTGGATCTGTCGAAAACGAGGCGATGGTCAAGTGCGTGGACTGCCAAGGTAAGGGAGAAGGGGTGGCTATAATTAGGCGCAGAACAAGTGTACCTATTCCATGGACATTTTCCACCACATATTGTGCAAGCCCTACATCCACATTGTCTTGTCACCAAATCACTCACATTCCTGCGACTATCTGCCCACCTAACCCCCATATAGAGCTCTTCCACAGATCGTGTGTTGGAATCTCGCCGGCTACTGCCAGTGCAATGCCTGGGTATGTGTGCGAGGTGTGTCTCAAGTATGACCCCGGACGGATACGCGCGCCCGGCACAATTCTGGGAGCCGGGGACAGGGTGGCCTCTGCGGAGCACACGCCAGAGGCATATGCACCGGCCGCGGAGAAGAAAGCGAGACGGAAAAAGAAGAGCAAGCGTGCGACGCACGCGGACGACAGCGACGATATAATATACCTGAATCCGAGGCCGGCCGCCGATCCCAGTGTCCAGACGGTCGAGCCCGCGGCTTTGCCGCCTGCCAATCAAGCTGGTAAGTCCAATGCTGTGGTGTCATTGTCATGGAGGGGCAGGAGTAGCAGAAAGTGCTGGCGTGTTTCATTACTATCTCGCGCAATTTGCGGGTCCGTGTGCTGGCTTTTTCGTGAGCCTTCTTGCATTCTCTTGCTCACAAACCAATTTATTTCCCTCCTCCCTACTCTGTATTTTTGTGTCCTGCATGATAGCACTTGCAGCGTTTATGAGTGCGGCAGGCGATATGGATGACGACGATATCTGCCCGATTTGCGAGGATGAATGCACGTGCGGTAATGCCCGGGCAAACGAGGCTGCAGGCGAAATGCAGATGCCGCTGTTCTCGGAGGTCACCAAAGAGATTCGCCAAATCGACTTTGAGGTTGTCGACGACAGCAGCGATAGCCAGCGGGCATCGACAAAAGCGAAGGCGAAATCCAAAGAGGCCAAAAAGGCAAAGTCGCAGCGGACGAAAAAGTCGAAAAAGTCAGAGCGCAACCTCATTTCGCGCCTGGTTGACGCCATGGACAGTGCGGATGCTCCTGCGATGGGCGATTCCGGGGAAGAAGAGACGTTCAGTGCGGAGAACCTGCCGATGCCCGAGGGCGGATTTACACTGTCGTCAGGAAGCGATGGTGAAGGCAATGGCCGGTCATTTGTGGCAGCTGCCGCATCTAGACCCTCTCTTGATTTAGAATCCGAAGGCGTTGTCGAGCGTCGCGATAGCTTGAGCCTGGCGCGGATTGCCGGCCCGACCAAGGACTATGAGTCTGAGGCGGAGTATGTCGAGCAGACTACGACCAAGAAGAAGACAAAAAAGACCAAATCAAAAGCGAAGTCGACAAAGACGGGCCGGCGAACGAAAAAGACTGCTGATGCTAGTGGCACGCCTGGCAGCTGGCGCAGCCGTGGAGCGCAGCCAAAGTTCAGCAGCGCATATAGTGATGATGAGCCAGCAATCTACGAGGTCGACGCGGCAGTGATCCATGGACGCAATCGCAATACTGCTCCTGCGCGGCGACCCAGAGCCGCCATCTCTGAGGAGGACGATGAGATTATCAACATCACTGATGTGACCAGCGACGCCAGCGGCGGATTCCCCAGCGAGACCGAGTTCGACCGGCCAGACACTACAGGCGAGATGTTTGCGCAGCGCCACGAATGGAGCGACTCGAACATGCTGGGGGACGACAGCAACCTGGAGCAGGAAGAAGAGCGGTACCTGGTGCAGATGTCGGATAGCGACCTTTCGTCGTCGAGTCTCAGTGATCTTGATGATGCTCGGCTGGCAGCACTGGACAGCGAGATGTTTAGCGGAGATGAGGGCGATACCGAGAGTGACTACAGCGAATCCGAACAGGAGCTGACATTCCGCCGGCCCAAAACTGACGAGGAGAGGGCACTGCTAGCCCAGACCGGCTCCGATGACGAGCGCGAGGATGCGATGCTGGAAATGCACCTCGACCAGCTGCAAGCAGTGCGCTCGGTCATTGGTGGATACTCGTCGCCGCTGCTGGAGCATGCTAGCGAGTCGGATACCAGCGAGGGCGAGGTTGACCGTGAAATCACATTTGCATACGACCCTAGCCGGGCAGCTGGCAGCGATTCAGATACGCGGCTCTCGGACGACCTGATGGAGGGCTGGGGCTCCGATGCGCGCATGCGGTGGGAGCTCGAATCTGACGGATCGAGCGACTCGTCGAGCTTGAGCGAGTCCAAGATCAATAAGCTGCGGCTCAAGGACGAGGACGAGGAGAGCGATGTGTTTTCAAGCGACTCGTACGATGCATATGACGACTACTATGCGCGCGACTCGTACATGGACGATCAATCGCTGTATCCGGGAGAGCTCGACATTGACAGTGCGTCCCTGGCGCTGGGCGTGGCAATGAGCATGGAGCAGCAGGGGTATTCGAAGGAAGATGCCGAGGCAGCGGCGGCAGTGGCAGCTGTCACTGCAGCAGCGTATCCGGACGCATCGGCCAACGGCGATTCCACTAGCGATATCCTCGACAAGCGCGCAGCGACCACTATCATTGCCTCAATGAATGCCAACGGCGAGGCTGATCCAATCGATGGCATTGTGTCAATCAAATCGCGTAGTGCTGGTGGCGGCAGTGCCACGCGGTCTGGGTTCATGAGCCCGGCGGGCATGCGCACTGGTGCGCATACGCCGTTCGGCAACCCCGGCTGGCGGGCAGCGGCCTCAGCGTTCCTGGATGGCCAAAAGCCGCAGCCCGCAGTGTCGTATGTGCTGCCCAAGGATCTGAACGAGGCCCGCGATCCCAACGTCGTGGCGTCGGTGATAGCCAGCGCCGTCAACACTGGCGATGCCAGGAATACCCCAGAGCCTGCCGAGGCTCTGGACTCGCTTGCCAATCCGTCCAAGCAGGACGACGATTCGGCAGTTGAAGTCGAGGATGCACCGATGACACCGGCTCCGGCCGACGACAGCCAAAAGCCAAAGCCCACGTCTTCTGCATCACCCGGTCATTTCAACAGCCATTTGCCGAACTCGTCCTTCTACAAGCCGTTGTCGTCGATCTGCACGCCGCTATCTCGCACCGCTTCAAGTAGCAACGTCAGTCAGCCGATGGGCGACAAACCCAAGAGCGAAAGCATATCTCCGGCGTCGACCAAGGCTGCGGAGAGAGGCGAGCCATCGGCTGCTGCTCCCATGCCTGCCAGCAGCGCCGCTGCAGTTGCTGCTGCGACGGCTACAGTTGCCGATTTCTGCTCTGGTGCGCCGCTGGTGTCGCTGGCTGAGGTCAATGCCGCCCTTACAGCGCTGGCCGAGCAGGTGTCTACGAGCCCCTCTGTTGTTACGCCCGCAGTCATGACCACCAACACCACCGATGGTGTTTCGTTGAAGCGCAAGATGTCGAGTAGCGTCGAGCCATCGGACATGGGACAGACTGATGCGGTATCGGAGAATAAGCGCCGGCGCAGCAGTACCGAGCCCACGACAGGTGCCAGCGCAGACCAGCCCATCACTGATCCCAGCACCCCGATTGACCTGTCGATGCTCTTTGGTACGGGCAGTGCATCGGCAGCAGCGTCGCTTGGGCCTGGAACGCCGATGACTCAGATGATGAACGCGCGTGACTCGCCAATGGGTGTGGTTGCCCAGACGCGCAAGTCGTACCAGAGCGAAGAGGACGACTGGCTGGCGACCATGGACCAGCTGGTTGACACCGATGCTCTGCTGATCGAGTCACCGCCACCTTCGCCGGCCGACGGTGCCAGCTCGGATGCGACGGATATCTCGCAGCAGCTCTCCTCGTCGCTAGCTAGCCGGAAGTCAGCAGCCGATCCATTGGCCCGCTGGGACCGTATTCCGGTCAACATCTTCCGCCGCTCGCGTGCCCTGGCATCAACCCACGGGCGCCACGCCATGATGGGCGCCGACAGTTCTCCCACCAGCATGTCGTCGCTGGCGCTGACTGCGATAAAGTCCAACCGGCAGCGCCGGGCGCTTGTCAATACCACGCTGCTGGCCCAGCACACGCTGCCGTCGGAGGCACTGCTGCACCGCCAGAAGATGAAGGGTGTCCGCCGTGCCGCCGGCTTTGGAGCAATGCCTCCGCCGCCTCCACCGCCCACGCCCAGGGGCACCGTGGTAGATCTGGCCAATCCGGCGGGCACGCTGGCTTCGCTGTTGCTGAAGAGCGGCGCTAGTCAGCAGCCCGATGCCAGTGTTTCCGTGGACGGCCTGACCCGAAACCACAGTGCGCCTGGATTAAACGCCAGCACAGCGACGCGGGCAGCAGATGCGGTGCAGAAAGGAACGGGCACCCCCTGGGAGCTGTCCAGCCAGGTGTCGGACAACTCTGTGGCCACGGCCAACTCGGCTGACGCGGCAACGGGCGGGAAGCAGAGGCGTCGTGGGTCGACGCGCAGCACCCGCACCGG